AAGCCCTTACCACTGCCTGAAACACTTTGCTTCTTCTTGTCTTTCTTTCTCCCTGAAAGTTGAGCTTTATGGGTCTCTCTACCTTTCTCCATGCCAAAGTTTCAAATGAAAAGACAAAGCCAGTGTGAACGTCACCCGGTGAGCACTCCCCAGTACTTCCGGAGCCACCGTGGAGTCACTGAGCTCAAGGGAGCCTGTGTTCATGGAGTACCCTAAACATTTCACTCAGCCTTGTTTGATCTGTGAGACAATTGACTGAAGTAAGTACTACTGGTGTCCTCGTGTTAGTTGAGGAAACTGAGGCACAGAGCTGTTAAAGTGACTCTTCAGAGGTCATATGCAGAGGAATAGGGGTTACCTCGAGGTCAGACCCCACACCTGTCTCTTCCCCACCATTCCCTGCTTCCCTGTCCTTGTACCAAGGAGCCTGCTGGAGGTACAGGGGTGACCGAGGGGTAAAGTGAGTGAGGACGCACAGAGCTGGGGCAGAGCAGGCCCCTGTAGGTGTCAGGCCGCAGGGCACGCTGGTCAAGAGTGCTGAGGGCTCCTGCACTAGTCAGGGTTACCAAGACCACGGTCCAGCCGTGTCCACTGCAGGGCACAGGGTAGAAGATCAAAGCAGACCTTTCCCAAGATGACTGCACACTAAGAGAACTGATAATACAGATAGGAATAGACCGAAGTTCATAGGGTTCAGGCAAGGGTGTGGACACTCAGCCCAACCATAATCGCACAGTCGTCTCACGTTTTTTAAAATTTTATTTTATTTTTGAGACAGGGCCTCGCTCTGTAATTCGCACTGGCCTTGAATTCACTGTGTAGCCCAGACTGGCCTCAAACTCTCTGTGATCCTCCTGCCTCAGCCTCCAGAGTGCTGGAATTACAGGTGTTCACCACCATACTTAGCTTATGTCTCATTCTTTTTTGTTCGTTTGTTTCCCTTTCAGTAATGGGGATTGAACCTAAGGCCTTCACGTTGAGATACATCCCCAGCCCTTTTAAAATTTTTTATTTTGAGACAGAGTCTTGCTAAATCACTAAATTGCTCAGGCAGGACTCGAACTTGCAGTCCCCCACCTCAGCCTTCCCAGAGTGCTGATATCATTCGTGTGTGTCACCACACCCAGTTCCATTATTTTACTGGGAGTAAAACAGGGCCCTGATGCTGTCTCGGGACACAGGGGTGGAGGGAGGGGTGAGCCATCAGATCCCATCTGAGTCTACAGAAAACATTCGTCCTCTGCTGTAATTATCTTGATGGTCATTATGTTCTTTTCTGTGTCATGTGCTCTTGCTTTGCAAATATAATATTTAGAAATTGTTTTGAGCAACAGCCAATGATCTTAAGATCATGTTTCCAACAATAATTACTAAATCCATTTTAAATTCTTCATCCCTTCCCTTCCCCTTTTAAATGCTGGTTTTGGCAGGCAGAACTCTGTAATTATCCCTTACTTGAATTTATTCCAGTTGTTTCAAGCCAATATATATTCCTTGATTAGTTTTTATTGGTAAAATAAGTAAGGAAAAAGTGTGTTATGAGGAGTTCTTGTTAAACTTGCATATAAGGTAACCTCTTTTGAAAAAGTTTTTTTAAATCTTGCCTTATATGCAGCCATTTATGGTATGCTATTGAAAATTTCCTTATTTTTCTAGGTTTCATGAAACATGTATCAAAAGTAAACTTTGAAAGAGGAAAGTAAGAAAATTGTGTTCTCCTTCCCATCAAGTCTTACACATTTATACAGATACTTTCCTAGTGCTGGGGAATGGCACATGGGGCCCTTATACCCAGCAGGATCCCAGCACCCTCTTCCTGCCCTCCCTCTCCTCCCGATCCTTCTTTCCTCTCCTTTCCTTTCCTTTTCTTCCTTTTTTCATATTTTAGAAGGCTCTCCCTAAGTTGCCCAAACTGGGCTCTCCTACTGTCTTTCTGTCTCCCTCCTTGGATCATGCATTTTAAACATACACTCATCCTATTGTACTGTATGTGTGTTTAACCTGAGCTCACTGAGCCCAGAGTGAGCAAGAGACCAGGTTTGGCGCCCGGCAATAGAGTCTACAGCCCAGGGTCTGAGCAGTTAAACACCCCATATTGGTCTACTTCAAAGAATACCACACCAAACTGTTTGCAGTCTCACTGTTTCAATGTCCACTTTGTATGCTTTAATCCTGTAACTTGAACAACTATTTCTAAGAGGACAATATGTAATCTATTAACTAGTGACTTCTTACTGTTTTTTTTTGAAATTCTGTATTACTTGTACCCTTATACTGTTTTGGTTTTTTTCCTCCTTTAAATAAAATTTTTAAAAAATATGTTAAAAAAAAAAAAAAAAAAAAAAGAATACCTCACCCGCATCCCTCTTCTAGAGATTGTGTAATCACCAGGAGTTTCTTAAAGATTCTGGGTGATCCCAATTGCAGACAAGTTTGTAAGCAGCTAATATGGTGATTCTTTCCTTCCGGTTAGTGAGTCCACAGCGGAAATGCCATCTGTGGGAGACCTTGTGTCAAGAAAGAACATTATTCACAGCATTATCATACTTTTAGCTGCGCTGTTAGGATTGACATTATAGCTGCTCTGACCTCAGGATGAAAGCTGAAAGCCAGCACTGAGAATACATGAAAGATCCATACAGCAAATGCTGCCACTTTTATGGAGGACAGTGTGGTGATATTTTCATAGGCCACTTGCCCACTTCTTGACTCAGTTTATCCTTAAAAAGTAAAACAAACAAAAAAGTAAAACAATAGAAAATACTGAGCTTAAAAGTTCAGTTGTATGTACATTTAAAAAACTGTTTCTCACCAGGCGTTGGGTGCACATCTGTAAGCCCATTACTCAGGAGGCTAAGGCAAGAAAATTGCCATGAGTTCAAGGCTGCCTGGGCTACACAGTGAGTTTAAGGCCAGTCTGAGCTACATAGTGAGACCCTGCCTCAAAACACAACAAACAAACGAACGTTTCCCGCTGGGTCGGAGGCTGCACACCTCGTCTTACCCATGCGTTTCTCACCACCCTTGCTAGGTGCTTGCACACTGGACCAGGTGCAAAGAGGGTTGAGAGTGGTCTGGTGGTGTTTTCTGCAGCCAGGGGCCCAGCCACAGGCGGGGGCTCAGCTCTGCCGCTCAGCAGCGAGAGGCTGGGGGAGCAGCCAGGCCTCCTGTGCGCAGCTGCCCATCGCTGGGTCGCTGCCGGCTCTGCCTCCCCTCCTGCATCGCGGTGGAGCAGGGTTCTCGGAGGAGCAGAGCATCACTGCGGACTGTTCAGGGGAATCAAGGTTGCGCTGCTTGGAGAACCTTCCAGTGAAAAACAGGGTGATCCAAGAATCAACGACGGACGAAGTGGGGCGGAGCTGAGGCCGAGATAAGGGATTTAATTATTACACATCAAAAACACAATTTAAAAAATCGTCACCCCTCCACTCTGCCCTTTTATGGTCCTTGGTGCCAAAAAGGCTGGAGACTGCTGTTTACAAGACTGCTGAACCCCAGAAGCTTCAGCACCGAATCCCAGCCACCACCCACCACCCGTCAGATGCATGGGCGCTGCTTTCGTGACCTCGCTCAGACCTTCCTGTCACCTCCCGTCTGCAGCCCACAAGGGCAGCGAGGACTCAGTCAAATGAGTGGATCACTGTCTTTCTGATGCCAGTTTTGACCCACTTCCCTTTACCCAAAGCACTGCAGAGGGCAGGAGGTGTTAATTTAGAACTCTCAGATGTGACTGCAAACTCCCAAGAGGAGATTCTGTGTGCAACCACGGTCAGGAGGTCCTTGGATAAGACCTCGGATACCCAGGCCTCACCCTTCTCACAGCGTCCCACTTTAAAAACAAAATCCTTCTAAACTTGAATTTTCACTTGCTTAACCATTTCTTTGGTTTGGATAGTCCTAGTTTAACCCATTTCCCACTGTGAAAAGAGACCACACTGAACATTTTTTGTGCATCAATCTTTGCCCATACTTGGAATTACTTCCCTAGAGCCCCTTTCTAGAAATTGAATTGGATGAAGAAATATAGGCTGGGCATGGTGGCGTGCACTTTTAATCTCAGCATTTGGGAGGCTGAGGCAGGAGGATCACTGAGTTTGAGGCCAGATTGGGCCACAAAGTGAGCTCAAGGCCAGCCTGAACTGTATAGTGAAATCCTGTCTCAAAATAAACAACTATATATATATATATAATTGCTGACTCATACTTTCAAATTATTTTTCACAGAGTTTAATAATTTAAACTTTTATGGGGAGGATAAGAAAGATAGAAAGGAGAGTAAGGGAATGGGAAAAAATAAGTTATATCATATACAGGTACAAATTCTCTATGATAAATGTGCTTATTATGTATATCTAAAATATACTAATAATACCTGAGTAAACTTTTAATAGCAGTACAAAGAGTACTCATTTTAGCTAACCCCTCAACCTCATTGCTTTTGCAAAGAAATTTTGCTAATTTGACAGTTTAAAATATCTAGTTTTTTATTTGCATTGTTTTAATTGTAAGCAAGCTGGAATATTTTATTATGTTTATTAGTGCATCACGTGTCTTAATAGATGAATTGTTTCTATTTCTTGTCTATTTTTATCATCTATTTTAGCATTTTCTTGTGAGTTTATACATTTATACTCTTAAATATTAGTATGTCCTTATCATATTTACTGCCTGATATCTCTCTAAATTTTTATTTTCTCTATAAAGTTTTCATTTTTGACACAGACATTTTAAATTTCAAATAGTTTAATCTATTTATATTATTCTGTCTTTCACCACCTTTAATTTAGACAATTAAAATTCAGTGATCAATTAGATGCTTTTTTCCCCCGCTAACTTACTTTTTAAAAGAATGTTCAACTCCTTGATTTACCTGTGATTTAGTTTGGTGCATACTTGACTCAGCTATTTCCCCAAGTCCCTTTCCCTTTTGATTTGAGGTACTCTCTTTTTCGTGACATTGATGCTTGTTGAATCTAATTTTTGCTTTTATTTTCTTGTAGCTGACCCCGATTGCTCCCAGTTCGTGAGAAGATGGTAAGACTGTGGCTGTTGTAACAGTCTCTCACTGGCAGCCAGCTGAGCCAGACTCCGGGGCTTTCAGAGGGATTGCACCTTCCTGGGGGGTTTTGAGAAGGAGATTCTGTGCTTTTCCTTTGTCGTGGGCCCTTTTCTAATTACAACTCCTATGAGGAAAGAAGGAAGATAGAGAGAAAGGAGGAGACTGAGGTTTAGGAGAACACTTGTCTTGTTTGCTGGGTACTGTAGTAGTTTTGCTTCATACACACCTGAGCCTTTTGGGACTTAGGAATCTGCATGGACACTCTCATGTCAGACTTCATTAAGTTCCAGGTTAGTGAACTCAGTCCTCCTTGTCTCTGACTGAAGTACAGTAGCCAGTGAAAGAAAGGAAAAAAATGTGCATCTGTGTACATAGTACCAGAGGAGCTGCCTCCTGAAAATACACTCTGGCCCTGGGTGTGCCAAGATGGGTTAGAAGAGGAAACAGAATCACTGAAAACAGCAGATTTTGCTTTTACCTACTTTTTAAACAAGTGGGTTAAAATAGTCATTTTTATCTGTTTGTCATTATTTAACCCACTTATAATTATGGTTTATAGGTGCCTTTTTTGTTATTTGTTTTTTTTGAGACAGGGAATTAGTATGTAGTTCAGGTTGGTCTTGAACTTACTGTGTGGCCTATGCTAGCCCTGAAGTCACAGTGATCCTCCTGCCTCAGTCTCTCCCTGAGTCCTGATATAACAAGTGTGTGCCACCATGCCTGGCTTATAATTATGTTTATTATTTAGACTTATTATGTGTTTTCTATGTATTAGGCTTTTACTTTTTTTCTCTTTCAGGCAGTAAATGCTACATAGTATCTTATTTTTGTGTAATGCTTTGCAATTAAAATAAAAACTTGCTCACAAAATCCTGAGAAGTAAAATAAGGCAGATATATCAACTAGAATTTACTAAGTAATAAGCACTTCTTTTTGTCGTTTTCTTTTTTTATCGGTACCAGGGATTGAACTCACGACCACACACTTGCAAGGCAGGCACTTATGCGCTGAGCTAACTCTCCAGCCCAACTAGAATTTACTAGATAAAATGAAATTCAGATATATTACGTTGCTCTCCCAAAGTTGTATGGTAGCTGAGTAGCAGAGCTGATATACCTAACATTTATTGAATATTAGTAAGTATCCCTCAAAATTCTGCACTACTTTAAGTAAATAGTGGCTCCTGGATGAGCTGATTTTCCTACTCAGGCAGTAAAATAGTTTGATTTATTTATTTATTTTGTAACTGGGGTTGATCCCAGAGCTTTTTGAGACAGGATCTCATTCAGTTGCTAAATTTCCCAGATTTGGCCCAAACTTGTGATCCTTCTGTCTCAGTTTTCCAGAATACTGGGACTATAGGTATATGTCCAGCATGCCAGGTAGTTTTTATTTTGTATTTATTTATTTTTGAGACAAGCTCTCACTCTGTATTTCAGGCTGGCCTTTAACTCACTATGTAGCCCCAGTCTGGGTTTGAATATTTGATCCTCCTGCTTCAGCCTCCCAAATAGCTGGGATTACAGGTGTATGTCACCCCACCTGGCCAACGTTTAAATTTTAATCAGTTTGTTACTGGTGTGAGGTAACATACTGAGCTGATATAATTCAGAAACAAGTGTGGCTTTCTGGACAGCCTTGATAACCTCTTTGTGGTGACGTGTAGGGTTCCATTTGACGTTCTGACATTTTCTGAAGGTTCTAGACTCACAGAGACCCCAAAGGACATGGGAACTTCAGTCTGGGAAAGCTTAAATAAAGCAGCAAAATTCTGAAGGACCAGCTGCTGACAGGCTAATGGCAGTAGGCAAGGCAGGCCTGTCAGAGGTGGAGGTGTTGGGGAGACAGGACCTGAGCAGCTTGGGGTGGGGGTACTATTTTACTACTCCCTAACCTCTGTTTGATCTAGCAATAAAATACACTATCTTAAAAGTATCATTTTACTAGATTTATTGATCCGTGATTTTGTCTTGTACAACACTTAGCTAAACTTATATTTGTTTTTGTTTTTGTTCTGTTGGTACCGGGAATTGAACTCATGACCCCGTGCTTGCCAGGCAGGCACTTATGCTGCTGAGCTAAATCCCTGGCCCTAAGCTTATATTTTAAACAAATTCCACTTTGATTTAGTCAGCATTTCCTAAATACAAGGTACAGCGGGTGGAAAGGAAAAGGAAACTAATGTTTACTGAGTACCTGCTCCATGGTTAGCACTGCCAGGCACACAGCACTGGGCAGTGGTCCAGTCATTCTCATGTGATTATTTCCACCTGGTCTCCTGTTGTTTTTTAAACACCTACACAGGCTGTGCCCTGGGGCCTTTGAACTGAATGTTGAAATGGAATGATTATTCTCTGAAAAATCTGTGGAGTTACTCTTGTTCAAATGCAGCCTGATCAGTAACATCTCTGTATTTTCCTCTCCTTACTTGAGACTCTCCTTATTTTCCTTACTTGCTTTATTTTTCTTCTGGGTCTTCACTGTCTAGTATGTTCTGTATTTATCTTCTTTCATCTAGTATCTTTCTATCCTAAATTGAGAGCAAGGGTTGTTGTTCTGTTTTTTCATCAAAGTACATCAAGCCCTAGAACCTACCTAGTTTATAGTAAATGCTGAATGAATATTTATTCAGTGAACTAAAGCTCAGAGTTAAGTGACATTTCGAGGGTAAAAAAAAAATTGGTAGATTTAGCTCAGTGGTATAAGCGCTTCCCTGGCAAGCACAAGGTCAAGAGTTTGATTCCCAGTACAAAAAAAAAAAAAAAAAAAAAAGAGAGAGAAAAGAAAAAAAAAAAAAAAACTGGCGTTAGGAGCCCCAGAAGCACAGGAAGGAGGAATTTGTTCTTTCTATAGCACAGTACAGTTAATTATTAAAGCAGCCTGATTAAAAGAGCACAAAATTCCCAACATATAAAAATGGCTAACATTTGGGACCAGAAATATAGCTCAGTAGCACAGTGCCTGTCTGGCAAGCGCCAGGGCCTTAGTTTGATTTGTGGTCCCCCCCTCCCCATTAACATTTTAAGGGATGAAAATGTTTATTGTCCGGATTTGATAATTACATATTGTAGACAGTCATCAAATTATCATAATGTATCCCATAAAGATATTCAAGTGTCATGTCTCATTATAATAAAGTGGTACATCATTTAAAATAATAAAACCCACCCAATACCATAAATAAATACATAAAATCCTGGCTCACCAAGGTTGGCCATGGGATAATGAGAAGAATTGTCACACCAATTCCATGTCCTTGAGATTTGTCTCGATGGCCTCTGGGAGGCTGTCCACTGTGAGTATTATGGCCTGGTTATGAACATAGAGGTTTATACAGTTTCCATACCACAGCTAAGATAAGGCTGTAAGGCTGTGAAAGTCATAATGGAAAGCCAAGGGCTCACTGCACACCCATAACCCCAGGACACTGGGAGGCTGAGGCAGGACTTTGGAAAGTTCAAGCCAGGAGGAGGGGGGAGGAGGGGGGAGAGAGGGGGGAGAGAGGGGGGAGGAGAGGGGAGGAGGGAGAGAAGAAAGAAGAGGCTGAGGGCGGCACAAGTTCATTAACACAGAGTGACCTGGAAACAGACAATGCAGTGAGAGATTTTAGCTTGTTCTTCAGGATGGAGAATGGCTGGGTTTTGAGAACGTGCAGCCCTGGGAGTTGCTGCCTAGGAACCTCTGTCACCTCCGCACACTTTTGACTGGAGCTTAACAGTGTGTTCATCACGGTTTATTTTTATTTTTCGAAATCCAATTTATTTTAAAGAGAAAAAGAAACAAAATTTCAAAACACGTCAATTGGGGCAACAATGGTGCATGCATTATGCATCGTCATCCCCGTCACCGGTTAAATGGGAGTGCATTTCTCTACACGGGTTTCCATGTTTGTGCCATGTCAGGGGCCACAGCTTGTTCTCAAGTGGAGAGTCTGGAGCCTATGGAAGAGTGGACACGAGTGTTAGGGAGATGATTCCCCGTGCCCCTCCATCAAGGTGCCCGCCTCCTGAGTTCACCCGGCCTCTTGTGTCATCCCTTAATTAAACTTCTCAGGTGTGGGTTTGGGGTGGAGCACTGGCCCGCTCAGACCTCTCTCCTTGGCCTCTATCTGTCTCCAGGGAGCAATGTCCGTGATCTGCTCCCTGTCACACAGCACTATGGGAGGGAGTCAGCAGCCTGGGGCGCAAGTTCAATTCAGGGATGTCAGGGATCCAAATCACTCCTTTTAATATAAATCTACCAATGATAGAGACCACAGTATTTTCATTCTATTCGTCCAACTCCTGTGCTTATTTTTCAGTTGGCTCCAAACTGAGGTGGGCAACAAAGATTGTTATTATTGGGCCCTTCAAACTCCAAACTCCCACCAAGCATGTAAATTGTATGTGAGCTGCGGTGATACAGAAGGTGTAGGGGTCTGCAATGACTAGGCAGTGCTGCGGTAGCAAACAGAACCCAAAACTCTCACATTCTTCTTAACACAGTGAAACTTGTCTCTCCTGCATGCTGCAGTCCAGGGTGAGCTGTGTCCTTTTCCCCCTGTGGCCCCGTTACCTAGAGTACGTGGCTTCCAGGGTCTCTGCAGCAGGGAAGGAGAGAGGTGGAGAAGGCAGCCTTGCTCTTAAGTGCTTTGCTCTGGAAGTGATACCCGACACTTCTGCTAAGTTAGACACCACAAGTTACATGACTCCAGACAACGCAAAGGAGGCTAAGAACGTAGAGGGGGCACTTGGAAAACACTAGTATTTCCAGCACGAGTGGGTTCGGATCAGCTGGGAAGGGCTGGAGTGGAGCTCAGTGGTAAAGCACTTGCCTAGCATGCTCAAGGCCTTGAGTTTGGTTCTCATCAATGCACTCATAAAAAGTAAGTAGATAAAACCTGGAAAGGTTCAAGGGTCCAGATTAGGGCCCAAAGTGGATGGAGTGGCACCAAAAATATATTTTGCCTATTTCATGGTTCTGGCAAAGCCATTCTGTCTGAAAATTATTTGAATAATCTTTTCTCTATCCAATGCCACTAAGGTGTCTATAATTAATTTGAGATGCTAGCTGAGTTCCCCCCAAAGGCCCACTGTTTCCACTGTACATTTATTGTCCTTTGTTAGTGGAACCTCGAGATCACAGTGTTTTGGGGGTACTTTGAGCCTTTCACAGTGTTTTTGGGTACTTTACATCACCTCAGATATAGCACCCCTCCACGGGATTTGTTTGAGTGGGAGTCATCTAATGTAACTCTATTTCTTGAGCATTCCCTTTGAATTAATCAGCTGGTATTTGTTAGTTTTTTTTCTAGAAAGAGAATGCAAGATCTTTCTAGGCCTAAAAGACAATGGGGAACTCCAGATAGGTAAGGAAATATGATAAGGTCTTGTTTGCTGTTATTATGTTCCTTATGTCAAGTAGATGAGTATTATTTTTACCTACCGTGTATTCTACCCATTAACCCTGCATCTCAGGTGGATCTATGACCCCCGTTCTACAGGAAACTGAGCCAACGTGGTCTCACCTGACACACACAGGCTGACTTTGGCAGTGGCTCCCAAATCTGCATATTAGGATCACCTGGGATTTAATATTGACTGATGCGTGGATCTCATCCCTGGAAACTCTGATTTAATTGGCCTGGGTGCAGCTCCAGGATGATCCTAAAGAGCAGCAAAGTGGGCTGCCCTCTACTGTAGGGTGCAGCTCTCTACTCTCTGAGACTCCTGTGTTCACTGTGCGGGGCTACCTTTGCTGCTTGCGCCACACCGGCCAAGGGGTTGGTACCACTTTGCATTCTCACCGACAGCCAATGAGCATTCCTGGTCTTCCACAGGCTTGTCATTTGGTGTCATCAGTGTTTTGGATTTCATTCATTCTAGTGGATATGTAGTTTGTATCTCACTGTTTTAATTTGTAATTCCCAAATGACATGATGTTGAACATATTTTATACCTTTACTGGTATATATTTTTTTGATGAGGAATATGTCCAGATCTTTTGTCCTTTTTAAATTGGATTGCTTCTTTTGTTATTATTGAGGTTTTATTGTTTTTGTTTGTTTGTTCCAGACAGGGTCTTGCTATGTAGCTCAGGCTGGCCTTGAACTCATTATGTAGCCCAGCCTGGTCTCAAACTCATGGTGATCCTCCTGCCTAAGCCTCCCCAGTGCTAGGGGTACAGGTGTGTATCACTACAGCTGGCTCATATTGTTGAGTTTTAAGAATTCTTTGTATAGATTGGGTATCATGTCTTTATTAGATATATGTTTTGCAAATACTCTTTCCCAGTCTGAGGCTTGTATTTTTATTCTCTTAGTAGTCAGTGTCTTTCACAAGGTTTAATCTTAAATAATCAAAATTATTGGGTTTTTTCCTTTAATTGATGGTGCTTTTGGTAATTAATCTGTAAACTCACTGCTAAATCCAAGGCCACCTGGGTTTTTTATAAAATTCGTAGAAGTTTTATAGTTTTTCATTTTGCATTTAAGACCACATGCATTTCAAATTAGATTTTGTGAAAAGTATGCTTAGGTTCCTTTTTTTTCTTTCTGTTCTCCTTTCTCTTCTCCACCCCCCCACCCCCATCTCTCTGTAAATATCCAGTTGTTGCAGCACCATTTGTTGAAAAGGCTATCCTTTCTCAGTTGGATTTCTTTCAGTCCTTGAACTATGTCTGTGATTTGATTTCCAGGACCTATATTCTCTTTGTTTATTCTTTAACAAGCCCCATGTTGTTGTGATCATGGTAGCTTTTTATAGAAGTAGTGTTAGGGGCTGGGGATTTAATTCAGTGGTGTAAGCGCCTGCTTGGCAAGCACAAGGTCATGAAGACTCATGACCCTGCTACCCAAAACAAAATAAAGCAAAACAAAAACAAAAAAACCATAAAGAAGTAGTGTTGCTTTTCTGACTTTGTTCTTCTTTATGTTGACTATTCAGGGCCTTTTGTCTTTGCGCATAAACTTTAGAATTAGTTTGTCAGTATCCATAAAGTGCCTTGATTTTGGGGGAGGATTGTGTTGAATCTATAAACCAGACCGGGAGGAACTGATATCTTAATATTGACTGTCCTTAAAAGTGGCATAGCTATTGTGTAGAGCTTCTTTGATTCTTTTCAACAGGGTTTTACAAATTTACTCATACAAATCTGTACATATTTTTTTAGAGTATACATACATTTAATTTTGTCAACATGAGTGTAAAATTTATTTAATTTTTAATTTCAAATTCCAATGACTTATTTTGGTATATAAGAAATCAATAGACTTTTATATTAATGTTATATCTAAAATGCTATAATCTAAAAACTAAGCTGTTTAAAAGTTGTTTTTAAACATTAAAAATACAGCATACATTAAATTCTCTCCTTTTCATAAATAGGAAAATGTACATTTAATTTATGAAAGCTTTATATTGATAAAACATATATAATAAATATTGCCTTGACTGTCAAGTTTTGGAAAACTCTTGCCCCACTCCCATTTGAAACCAACAGAAAAATTGAGGGAATGAATTGATTAAGAAATTGTACTAAGAGGCTGGGTTTGATGGTACCCGCCTGTAATCCCAGCACCCAGGAGGCTGAGGCAGAAAATTAATTGCGGATTCAAGCCCTGCCTGAACTGCATAGCGAAACCCTGCTTCCAAAAAAAAAAAAAAGACTATAAAATAGTTACACTTAGAAAAGTTAAGTAACTTACCCAAGTCTAACCAGCTCGTAGGAGCCAAGACTGGGATGTGACCCTGTTATCCATCGCCCACACTGTCCGTTCCTTTCCATTCCATTCTGGACGCCTAAAAGGGGGCATCTCTCCAATGTGCCCAGAACTTGGCATCCTGCTTTGCGTTGCGCTCTGCAGGCCTTGGCTCCTCTCAGTGTGGAGCTGGAGGAGCTGGAGGAGCTGGAGCTTTATTCTAGAGCCCCCAGCACCATCAGGTCAGCTCGGTGGCGCCTCAGTGCGCTGCCACGAGTGGGTTGGGACAGGGATCCCCGATAAGGTCAGGGAAGGGGGCACAGGCGAACCACGTGGGAAATGGAGCCAGCAGGACGGAAGGAGTGGGGAGGATTACTGTACTTCTAGCACTGACTGGCAGAACAGAGAAAGATTTATCTAAAATACAGAGAAATTTGGAGACAAAGGGAAAACCTGAGTCCTTGAAGGGAATGAGCTCATGTCGTTAGAAAATTCGGCCAAGTGTGTCAGGCATCCCCAGGCCTTTCCCCCTCTTTATTGAGTCCAGCAGTGTTACAGAATGTCACAGTTCACAGTGTGAGTCTCTTTCTCTCTTTATTTTATTTTAAAGGGAATAAAACAAAACAATAAAATGGAGCAAAACAAAACAGTGAGAACTGTATTGGGTTTCACAACAAGACAGAAGGAAATCCCCCATAGTTGCTACATTGTATACTGTTATTCTCTAAACAGGTGCTCAAACTACCAGCTTCAGGCCTGCAAAGTCAAACAGTACAAGTATACAACTGTTTTGTACGGTAGTTGCTATCAGCTCAGACTTGGATTCTCCACATCAGCTGGTTGCTTGGCTGGGGAGGGGGTTCTTGTTTCCCAGCCTGCCCCGCCAGCTGGCTTACTGGAGGGCAAGAGTTGGCTTCTTGATTGTCCTTCTGGCCCAGGACTGCTGCTGGCCCAATATGATTTTGCTCTCCACCTAAATGATCTGCCTGAGTCTTGATGATTTTAGTTTCTCCTCATTCCCTGGACCAAGCCACACTGCCAGGAGCCTCTGCCTTCCACCTCCTCCAGGAAGCCTTCCCAGGTTACTCCTGTGCCACTTTCTCCCTTCTGCTTAGCACAGCAGTCATTTATGTTTCCCAAGACTGTTGAAACCAGATGACCTGAGGCCGGCAGCTAGCTGTGCACAAGTGGCCCAAGGGGGAAACCACCCACTCTGTTCCTGTCTTACTTCCTGACACCTGGACAGGGCTTCACCTGAACAGAGAGCACAGTGCACACGCTTGGCCCATCTAGTGCCAAGCTGACTCTAAATTGCAGTGTTGCCAAAGCCTGGTGATGCACACCTGGGATCCCAGCCCTTGAGGCTGAGGCAGGAGGATCACTGAGGAGGCCAGCCTGGTTACATAGTGACAGTCTGAACTGTATGTTGAGACCCTGTCTCAAAAAACAAAAACAAGTCCATTCGTGGACTGGGGAGAGACAACAAGGCCACACCAGCAAGCAAGCCCAGTCTGGGAACCAGCACCATGCGTGGGCCGCTGCTGGGCTGGGAACAGCCGGATCCTAGCCCCTTCTTGGTGCACAAGCCGGCAAACAAGAAGTACCCACCTCCTGCCCAGTGACTGGCTTCTCTGGAGAGAAACAGGCTGTGATGATAACTACTGAGATGGAATGCAATTGGATGCCTGTGGTGCTTTGGTGTTTCACTAACACTGCAGGTCTAGGGCCAGTGGTCTGACCATAGGTTCAGAGGATAGTGGTACGCAGTATGACATCTATGGAGGACCTCCTGAGTGCTGCAGCCATTGTTGATTCCCTATGGTCTTGTTTTAAAGTCCTATATCATTTCCATTGTTCTATTGGGTTGGGTTTTATTCTCTTTCATTTTGTTTATGTTAAATTCGATGGCAGGAGCAGCTATCTCAAAGATAGTAAGATATATTATGGTAGCAATTTTGGATTTGCTATTGGTTTGTTTTGAAATCCTTTATTGCATTCATTGTTTTGTTTCTATTCTATTTTGTTCTGTTTGATCTTTACTATGTCTGAAGTTAACTGCAGCTATTTTGAAGACATCAAAAGGCATTATGGTAACTATTATTGATTTTGTAATGTTTTGAAGTCCTGTATTTCTTACAGTGGTTTGTTTTGATTGGTTTTATTCTGTTTTATCTTTAAAATAACAAAAAACAAACAAACAAAACCCCCAAAGCATCATAGTGTTAATTTCATCATGGTAGAAATACAAAGGTCTTATCTCTTAACAGGTTTGTATGTGATTATGTTTTAAGATAGTAGGTAAAAGTCTTATTTCAGTTCTGGTTTTTTTTTGGGTTTTTTTTGTCTTTTTTATTTTTATTGTTACCGGGGATCGAACTCACAACCGCCTGCTTGCAAGGCAGGTGCTTATGCCGCTGAGCTAAATCCCCAGCCCCTTTCAGTTCTGTTTTAACACCCAACATAGTTTATCTCTTTCTTTCTGGGTTTTTTTTTTTTTTTTTGGTTTTTAGTTAATCTCTGTCTAATGCCTTTGATATAGTTCTTGGAGTAAAATCTATATAGAAACTATAAGAGCAATTTCTAAAATATTCATTAGCAGCATGTTTTTGACTACTTTATTTTTACATTTTTAAACAGAAGACTGTTTTGGGGAAATCAAGACCCTATTTGCCCTGTTTCTGACAGAGCTTTGACTGCTCTCCCTACAAAGAGACTTAGCAGCCTTGCTCAGCCCAAGAAGGTCTCCCACCACTACATGCCTAACAGGTCAGTGTCGGTGTCTCAGGCCAGCTTTAGAAGAGGGTAAATTATCCTACTGCTGAGATTTAAGATATTTCCAAACATTTGTACTGTATATAATACTGTTAATGAATAAACTAACTTATGCATGAAACTTGGATGAATTTTAAATTTACCATGGGCTTGTTACTATGAACTGTGACTTTTAATTTTTTAATTCCATTTTATCTCCATTGCTGGTTTGTTCACTGTAACTGGTCTTAACCCCAGAATGAAGGGCAGGGATAATAAGAACATTATTATTATTATTATTATTAGGATTATTATTAATCCCAAATACAATCTTCTCAAAAAAAGAGAAATCTTCACCTTATGATTAAATTTACTTCTATACCTCAGCTTGAAGACAGAGAAAGGTATTGATGTAAATTCATCCTATTATCTAAAAATACAGTAGTAAACAATTTTTGAATTATTTGTGTAGATGATAAAATATTTGGTTTTAAAAGCAGCAACGTTTCTCCTATCATCAATTTATCTTTTGGCCTACTTTAGGTTTAGCATAAGGCAACAGAAGCCAGCTGAAGACCTGATTAGCGGTACCTATTGCTAAACCAATTCATTTCTCCCCATGTGAAAAACAGCTCTGAGAGGAGCATGTAAAGTCCCTCTTGCTTTTCCAGGCCTGGGAGTCAATGCTGGAAAACACAGTGATTTGACTTTATGTTGTCTCACTCCCTTTTTTTCTCTTCTACAACATTCAGGGATCAGTATTACTACAGCTGTGGAAGAGAGTCTGTGATTTGGAAGATTCCTCATCCTGCACTGTTTAACCAGCCCTCCAAAAGGATTCAGAGGCTGGCCCAGCCCAACAGATTCAGAAAACAGCATCTGCAAAACGGGTAGAGTATCTTCAGAATCTCTAGAAATCCTAATCTAATTTGGTTTAATGTCCCAGTATCATTTGTCTCATTTTAGTATACACAATTTCATGACCTTAAGTCTGCCTGTGTCCCAAAGTATCTAGTAAGAAAGTTAAATATTTGTAGCAATTGTAGGTGATCAGAAAATCATTATCAATAATTACATTTGAAGCTGGGTGTTATGGCACATACCTGTAATCCCAGCACTTCAGGAGGTTGAGGCAGGAGGATTGCTGCAAATTCAAAACCAGCCTGGGCTACAAAGTGAGCTGAATGCCAGCCTGAACTGTGTAATGAGACCCTATCTCAAAAAGATATGCCAAAAAAATTTACATTTGATTCAAATTTTGGTGAAGCTAAGATTCACGCTGAACCTTACCAGTGTCACCCTACTAAAGGGAAATCTCTGAGTGGTGAGAGGGCTTGGTCAGCACGCATGAGGTCCTGGCTTTAATCCTCCAGCACTCCAAAAATAAAACAAACATAAAAAGAAATCTTCAAATGTACGTCACAGGTTCGACAAGATATAGACCTTAATATTTTCTTATGTTTCTGACTCTGTAGATGATTTTTCCTTTTGCTTTTATTAAAATTCTTTTTCTTTAAAGAGAAGAATGTGTTTATTGAGGAAAGAAAGCTTCTGTCCAAGAGAGATAACATAAGGGGTCCCAGGTGGGTTGCCGAGGACCCTGTCTTTTCTTGGATATTTATAGAATAAAACCACGATGTGAGGCAGCCCCAAGGTGGGGAAAAAGGGAAATCACAAGATGAGCATAAGGTGGGACAAAACTATGGTCAACCAATAAGATCATGAGTATAATTGTTCAGGTAAAATGGATTAAATGGGGATCAAGTGGGGAAGCGAGTCACGCAGCGAGTGAGCATGAAACAGAACAGGGCCTTCGCCTGGAGGAGGTGGGTCGGTGGCTCTTCCTGGCTTCTCCAAGGTGATTGATACCTATTTAGAATATCGGTCACTGTGTTTATGCTTAGGGAGATTTGTGGGTGCATTTGGTTCATCGTTTGAATGAGGTCTGGCCCTCAGCAGAGTTGCCTGTCTCCTCCACAGTTTCAGTGTATCCTGTGTTCTGCACTGGCCCCTTTGAGGGCCCACTCTTTCCTTTTCCTTTAAAATTGAATTTCTCCTTGTCTTTAAAAGACAGTTTAGAGTCAGGATGTGGTGGCGCCCAACTGTTGTGCCAGCACTTGGGAGACTGAGGCAGGAGTTTGAGATCAACCTGTGCTACATAGTGAGACTTGTCTCCAAACAACAAACAAACAAACAAAAAACCCCAGGAAACAAAATATAAGACTGCTTAGAGCACCCAAGACTGCCCAGTCCCAGACTTGTGGGTACCGTAGGTGGCAGGTGGAGGGGCCTAGCGCCGAGGAAGACAAGGCCACCAAACCAGTGCTGTCTGCTGTCTCCTGTCACAGACTTGATCATGCCTGGCATTTACACTAGGAGATTTTAGAAGAATATATAATACGTGTACAGTGAAAAGTTTTGAGTCCCTACTATATATAACAGCATGCATTTACAAGCAAAAGACCAAATCTATATCGAAAAGGAGGTAATGGATTTAAAACAAATCTGTATTCACGAAGACTGACTCCATATAAATCATAAAATATCAAGAAAGGATAAAAAAACCCAATAGAAATGTTTCATTCTGGGCAGTTGCTAAAGGTCTGTACCCGATGGTTTGGTATTCACAGTTGGCTTTTGAAACACTTAAGGAGAAGATACTGCTGTGATCTGAGTTATAGCCACTGATTTTATCAGATCCATAAAAGCCAGAGACAGTGAATTTACTACCACTAACCAAGGTGATTGCCCATTGATTGTGCAGTTTGCTGCTAATGATGCAAGACTTTTATCTGATGCTGCTCACAAACTGTGTCCTTATGCGAATGGAATAGGCATGAACTGTGGTTGCTCGCAGAGGTGGCTGATCATGGAAGGTTATGGACTTGCTTAATAAACAGGCCAAACTTTGTTTGAGGTACAGTGAAACAAGTAAGAAATCAAGTGGAAAACCCCAGATTTTCAGTTCCTATTAAAATAAGGTCCATGATGACCTTACAAAGAACTGTAAACTTTTGTCAACAGTCTGAAGCAGCAAGAGTTAACTGGATTACAGGCCATGGAAGAACTGCTGAAGGAAGACATCAGCCAGTCCAGAATGATGCCATTAGAATACTAAAGGAAACATGTCCTTATCTGTGATTGTTAATGGAGACATCATAAGATTTAAAAAAACAGAAAATGTGTGGCAAGTTATGGGACAGATGGCATGATGGTTGCAAGGGGACTCTTGGTGAACCCTGCCGTGCTTGCTGGATGTGAGGGAAACCCACTGAAATGCGTCTGGGACCGGGTGGACATCACTCTTGAACTTGGGACTTCTTTTGTTTGTTTCCATCAACATTTAATGCACCTGATGGAAAAAATAACTTCAAGGTAAGAAAAAAGAATATTTAAGTGTCTGTTAAGCACATCAGCAGGTTTAGATTACCTTATAGACCATTATGACATTGACTAGAATTTCCAAATTATTATTTTTTAAAATTTTATTTTAAAGAGAATAAAACCAAACAAAACAGAATAAAGCTGATCAAAACAAAACAGTGAAAGTGATACAGGACTTCAAAACAGGATAATAGGAAATGAACAATGGCTACAATAAGTGCCTCTTGTTATCTTCAGAATAGCTGCCCATACCATCAAACATAATAAAATCAACCAAAGCAGAACAGAATAAAACCAGTCAAAATGAAACATTGAATAAAACAAAACAATAAAATGGAGCAAAACAAGACAGTGAGAACATTATTGGATTTCAAAACAAGACAGAAGGAAATCCTCCATAGTTGCTATATTGCATACTGTTATCCTCTAAATAGATGCTCAGACTATCAGTTTTAGACCTGTAAAATCAATCAAATAATACAAATTTAAGTTGTTTTTATACCTCAGTTGCTATCCACTCAGTCTGTGTTGAAAGGGGGTGAGAGTGGGTGGCAGCTCTTTTTGCCTCCTGGTCTGTGCACTGGCTGGCTCATAGGAAGGGTGAATTGGCTTTCTGTTCTTCCTCCCAGCCCATGACTGCTGCTGGCTCATGGGAAGGGCGCTTCTTGTTTCTCCTCCCAACTCACAGTTACTGCTGGCTCATGGGAAGGGCAAATTGGCTTCCTATTTCTCCTCTTGGCCCATGGCTTCCCTTTCCAAATTATTTTATTTTTTGTCTTTTTGAGATAGGGTTTCACTATGCAGATCAGATTGATCTTGCACTCACTTTGTACCCAGGTAGGCCCTGAACTCACATCAATTCTTCTGCATCAGCCTCCCAAATGCTGGGATTATAGGCATGCACCACTATGCCTGGCTTTCCCATACGATATAATCATACAAGGTCACATCTTGGTTTTTACTATAAAAATAATCTCTGGGAGCATGTTTTTAAAATAAGATCTGGCCTCCATCCACAGATCTGACTCAGTGAATGAGGTGGACCCTGAAATTTAGAGTGTTACAGAGGACTCCAAGAACTAGGGTGTAGCTCACGATAGACCCCTGCCTTTGCATACAGAAGGTCCTTTTCTATTCTCCCCACCACCAAAAAAAAAAATAAACCTTTCTAAAAAAGCCTGTGTGGTTCAAACATCCTGGTCATCCTAGGTCCAAACATTATCAAGCTCTGCTCTGGATCTTGTTATGCATTGGGGGTGGTGAAGGCAGCAGGGTTATTTTTTTCCCTTTCATAAAGGAATTATATTTTTAATGCTTTTAAATAAATCTTATTTTAATACTAAGGGGAAAAAAAGACAGCTCTAGATGATGTCTTCCTGTGGGAGTTAAGGCCGATGTAGTTGTTGGAGAAACTAATTTCACGCTAGGTTGCATTGGTGGAATATGTGGAGTGCCAGTTGTACACAGGTCTATCGGTACTGCTATACTTGGGATGGTGAGACTCTGTGCTGCTTTAAACACAATGGTTTTATGCTGTGGTATAGAAATTACACTTTAAGAGCTGATGATAAACTCATGATTGCTCAGAAGGAGATAACGAGATGTTAGGGCTTATGGGAACCATGAGAAATAATGCAGAGACATGGCACGTTTAGCTGAGAGAAGAGAGCGAGGGAGCAGGGGCAGCTGTGTTCAGGTGTTTAACACTTGGCATCTAAAAGAGGAAGAAGAGGTGGAAGTACAGCTACTTCATGTTGATCCAGAAACCAGAAGTAAAACAAGGAGTTTGCATGGCAGCAAGGGTTAGCAAAATGTAGGGAAGTCTTTCTGACCGTCCTTCCAACAATCACTTCCTAAACAGAATTGATTATCTAGAAAAACAAACCACGTTCTCCATTCTTTTCAGGGTACAGTAATCTTTTTGGCTTAGTGCAGAGGTTAAAACCATGACCTTACACATGTTAAGCATATTCTCTACCACTGAGCTACACCCAGCCTCCTCTCAGCCTTTCGCCATTGGTTTAGAATCCTGAGCATGAACATAACCTACTATGTAACACTTTAATACAGAAAGCCTCTGGTGTGTTTTGTACTTACACATATAGTTCCTTCTATTGGTACCCTCCCAAGTGCTAGGATTACAGGTGTGCACCATCACACCTGACTACTGTCTCCATTTTTGAAGGACAGTTTTTCTAGACCGAGCATCCTCAACAGACAGGCTTTTTCTTTCATTGCCTTAAATATATTATCCTATAAATAACTATGACAAAAGTTTAAATACATTTGACCACCATAGGTTCTGATGAGAAATCACTTATTAATTTTATTGTAGCTTTTGACAACTCAGTTTATTGTCTTTTTCTGCTTTGGAGTTTATTAAATTTCTTGGATCTATGATATTTTTCATAAAATTTGGTATGTTTGGGGTGACTATTTCTTCAGATTTTCACTCTACTTCTTTATCTCTATCCTCTTTTATAGGATTTCTATGGTGGGTATATTG